GCAATAATTTAAATATCTACAAGCATTAGACAATTACTGTATAAGCATTCAAAGAAGGTCCACCTTTTTAGCATAATATTTTGACATTTTGTAAAACATGCTTATTTTTGCTTGTTCTTGGTAGACAAAATATAGAAAGCACAAATAGATATAACATTACATTTCAGCCTATTTTGCTTTTTTTTTGACAGAGCCAGGCTAGCTGTATCCACAATTGCCTTTAAAAGTCGTTATGCTAAGCTATGCTCACCAGTTTAGCGAATAAACATGAAGGAAGTTCTTATCTAGCTTTTGGTAAGTAAGCAAATAAGCATCCTGAAAATGTTGAACTTTTTCTTTGAAGAAAGGGATGCTTTTGATAGGAGCCAAAAATCGTTATCCCTTATCTTGTGCAACATTTTTTTGTGTGAAAGTTTATACCTGTGAGGCTTCAGCAGTCAGAATTAGCCAAAGCAGTGGGTATCTTCTCAAGTGACAACTTTTTTGTGCACAAAATTATCTTTTTGTGTGAACGTACTGTACTTGGCCATTTTAGGCCATTTTCAAAATATTGAATTATCTTATTTAGCAAAAGCTATATGTCATGATGTCTGTATGCTAATTTTAAAGCTAGAGCTAGCTGCCAGTTAGCTTAGCTTAGCATAAAGGAATCTCATAACGGTCTGTTTTCGGACAAATCTGAAGTAACCATAAACTGTTTAAATTAATGTAGGTACACATAGGCCTGTGTTTGCAGGGAGCCTTTTAACAAAATGTGAATATCCAAAGAAACAGTTGTTGCAACGCTAACATGATCTGAACCTGTTGTTTTTCTGTCCTTAAATCAACCAATAATGTCAGAAATATGATATCTGAGAGCGGTTTGGGCCAAACATCCTATCATTAACTGTCTAAATTCAATATCTGTTTTTTGGGGGGGGGGGTAGAGGTATGTTGGCGGCATCACATACACGTCATGAATCCAAATTCATGAGAAGTTTAATTTTATTTGACAGGCAGAGTCTAGGAGTCTCTTGGTGATTGTTATGCCAGATGGCAGCGAGAAAATCCCATTTGAAGGTTTTATTAATTTTCGTTAAACTGGAGAGGTTCGCCGATGCTGTCTTTGCGCTCTCACTGACGCGGCTGACTGACATCTCGCTGCTCCCTCCATTTGTCTTTGTTTGAAAAGGTCTTAATTGTATTACATGCAAATGAAGAGATTTGATTTTTGCCCATTATCTATTCATAAGAGAAAATGAACAGAACATTAGTGGGTCACCAAATGAGGGAGGGAGGGTGAGGGAAGGAGGGGAGAGAGGGAGACAGTGATGAGAGAGGAAGATGAGAGTGAAACAGAAATGGCAGCTTTACATTACTGAGCTCTATATCTTTTAACTTTTGAGTTTGTAAAAAAACGAATCTGTCCATCCTCATGTGTAAAGCATGTGTCTGTATGAGTGTGTAATAGGTCAAGGCTGATAATTAACCTTTGATGACTGAAACACAGCAATTAACGTCTGACTCATGTGACAAATCAAAGTGACAAGCTTGAATGCACTCAGCCATCCTCCCTGGTCATCTTAAGACCATCACCCTTTGAATTATGAGCCATATATATTTTAATTAGGTTTTATGGCACATGTGTCACCAAACAGGTTAAGTTCAAACAAAACACGTTTTCATTTAAACTACTTTCTCCTAAAGTCGTTTTGAAAACTGTTCGTGATGAAAAGTGGGAAAACTGTTTCATGAGATAGATGTGGAGTTTTGAAATGTCATTTTTTGTTGCAAAAGAAAGACAAATCTATCCAAAATCCATTGTGGAGGCAGGTGTTTCACAACCTGGAAATAAATATGTAATCGTTTATGCGTGGCTAAATATCAATGAATATGGGAATAATGTTGGATATGTGACTGCTCCTTTAAGGATAGGTAAATACTCTTTCAGGTAGGTCGAGAACAAAGTGTTTGGAATAAAAGCGTCTTTCCTACATTACAATCAGGGAGCAAAGGCTTGTCTTTGAAAGATTTTCACTATTTTCCGAACAGAACAATCGGACAAGCGTCCCTACTTTTTCCCAGAATTTGTTTCCCTGATGCAAAGAGGGAATTTTGTACAAAAAAAGCTGAAACTGTGGCAAAGCTTTTCTGCAGATTTCATCTATGAATCTGTGTCTTAATTGCCAATATGGAAAAGAGGAACGATTGCAGCAACCAATAACTGTCTGGGCATGTGAGTATTACATTATGATATATCTAAACATGTGTGTTAATACAAAACCTGATCATATTTCTAAAGAAACAGGAATTATAGACAAATGTTGTTTATTGGACTTTAAAGGTGCCCCCCTGCCTGTTGAGGCCTGGCAGAGTCCACGCAGGCTAAAGCAGAACACAGTGAAACCCTGATGAAGAGGGACAGTGAAGTGTGTTGGTCAAGAATGAGACTCTCTCTTCTACACGACCCTCTGAACAGCGAGGGAGAGAGCCCGATATTGAATAGTGTTGTTGGCCCATTGTTAAATTACAGCTTAATTCCTTTTCCATCATCATAACCATTTGTTTTCCTTACAGGGTGGAGATAGGGGGATGAGATCGGGCACTGTAAGCAGGGGGAGAGGGCCGACCTTTTGCTTTGCTTTGACTCTGGTCTTTAGTTTTGGTGGCCATCGCATCATGACTCCCCCTCTCAGCTGATTCCTGCCATTGGTCATATTTGACACCTGGTCCACACCATGCAGGCCAAGGCAGCTTTTCCTCCCATTTCTTCCCAGTGAACTCCTGAATCTCTCCTTTACCTCCATCCCTGTGCCCACCTAGTTTTTATACACTGTTTTCTTAAATGTTCTCCCTTTTAGTGTGTTTTTGAAAAACAAACCTAATTTCAAGCTGCTTTTTCTAGTCTGTTAGTGTGTCAGTTTGTCTACTACATTGGTCCTGAATTTCTTCTAGAACCGCTGGATGGATTGCCATTTAATTTGGTGCAAAACATCACTGTAGCTTGCTAAAAGGACGAATCCTCACGATCTTGTTGATTTCCTGACTCTCCCTCAAACGCCAGGTCAGGTTCTTTATTTATTCTGAAATATTTAAACATCTGCATGGATTTGTACTTTTTTTGTTTCGTTTTTTCCACCTTCTGCCTTTCGCTCACATCACGAGGTTGACATTTGAGTTTTAGAATGGTTTGATATTGTCAGTTTTATTGTTGATATGTATATCACATTTCCCAATGAATTTTGTACAACCATTCATTGTACGATAAATCCTAATAACTTCCTGACCCCCTGCCGTTTCCCCTCAAACATCTCTACAACAATTGCTGAGAATCTTGCTGTATAAAATCAGTATAAATAGGAACAACATCAGGTCATACTTTTTCAGAACTGGTTTATGACTAAATATCTGCTAAACTTATAACATTCCCATTCACCTCTTTCTTTAACTTTCTTTGTATGAGCATATCAGGCTGACATTAGCATTTAGCTGAAAGTACCACTGTGTCTAGTACAACCTCATAGAGCTGCTAGCATGGCTGCCTCTTATCTTTTGCATCCATTATTCAAAACCCTCTAAAGTCTACATATTTGACCTTTTCATCCAGACATCTGACAGATAGTTAAACAAACACAGCATCACCCATCCCCAAATCTAAAACCCATTCACTCCACATCAGCCAATCCCACTCCCTAAGCCTCCTCCTTTCTCTAGCTGCCCTTGAGCTTTTCTATTACCGCATGGAAAGCACCTCGCAGCCCCTGACAAGCGCGGCGGATCGACACTAAATCAGAAATCAGTGCCAGCCGCAGATCTGAGCCACCATGAAGGTCACAGGCCCTACACTGCGTGTCGTCTCAATCGGGGGAGCAGGAGTAGACACAGCTAGGGTGATGTGTGACTGTGTGTGGTGTGTGTGTATCTGTGTGTTAACAGGGGAGACACCAGGAGGAGGAGGAGGAGGAGGAGGAGGAGGAGGAGGAGGAGGAGGAGGAGGAGGAGGAGGAGGAGGAGGAGGAGGAGGAGGAGGAGGAGGATGGAGGAAGAGCAGGTCAACATTGATGCAGAAGTCATTGGATGGAGAGAAATAAGGGGAAGTAAAAACAAGTGTAGACAGAGAGGTCTTCATAAAAAGACCATCAAAATCATATAAAGAGAATCAGTCAAATCATTTGATTTTCTCTCTCAGTATAATATAGATAAATGTTCAAAGTTAAAACCTTTGACACAAATATAGTTTTTTCCTGGCTATATTGGGTTTGAAGCTTCCTCTGATCTCATGGGATTGATACACACTGCCATCTAGTTGTAAAAAGGAGGATGACACTCAGAACTGTGTACTTGTGACTTCCCTTGGTTGTTTGAATTTCTCACAACAGAATAATGTATGTGAAGTTTGACATTAAAAGGCTGTTTTTACATTCATAAAAATAAAAATATTTATATAAAGTAATCGTAAAAACTAATACGTTCATATAATTAGTGAAGACTTCAAACAAATGTAAACTTTTTTTAACTGTGGTTTGGCTAATACTAGGCTACTGATGGAGCATAAAACCAGAGGGACGTTCAAAATGACCGGTTTTGTTCTCTGATTGGGCTATTCTTTCTCAGACAAAACAGTTTTTATATTTCTTGATTTAGCAAAACATATCATTTAAAATGTATAATTTTAAACAGTTTTACTGTACATATTCGCCAAATCAGATTCCCTTCCTCATGTTTATTGTATCCACCAAAAACCAACGGAAATGATTTGCAAGTGAGAACCTACTTTTTCATTATACAATTATTGACATTTTGTACATACATTTTTATTTTTGTTGAAAACCCCAAATATGAATCAAAACAGTATTTTTTATATGTTATAGTTACTCTGCCGTATATCTTTAAGGAAAACACGTATAATAAATCAAATGTGTTGTTTATATATAGGCCTAGGCCTACAGTATATGGTTGTTAAAGAAGTACCAGTATTTATCGGCAGAATGATGTTTGTCCTGCCAATGCTTCCGTAGCTTGAGTCACATGAATGGTTTGTTTTGGTCGTGACAGAATCAGTACATTAACACGTAGCTAGCAGACACTACTGCAACAACGTTATATTCTGGTTAAAATATCAGGTGAACAAAACATAGATCTTAAAATCTTCTCTCAAGGGCGAGAAAAAGGAAATACGAGAAAGGGCGAGAAAAAGGACATACATCAGGCGGAAGCGTCTCTGGTTTCTGTTTACGCTAATGAGTGGTGAGACGCAGTGCACGCGCACCTGTAGTGTTGTTGTGCTTCAGTTACACAGTTGTTATGTTATTGGCTCTTATTTAGATTAATATGTAAACTTGCTTTATTCTGTGTCATTCAGCCAACGTTAACCGTCAAAACGATGCTTCGGTGGATTCTTGGTGGTCGAGAAGCTCAGGGTTCATTGGAGGTAAGCTGTAACGGGGTAGCTATGCTATGCTAACTGTCTGATCAACGTTTATCTGTTTTTAACGTCACTGTGAAGTCAGTTTGAGGTTGGGTAACTGACAGTCATCCACTGCGGTCTATTTACCCTCACTGTCTCACTGACTGTGCTGTTTAGTTTGCAAAAATCAACCCTTGCAATAAAAAAACTGCCGAATTGTATCAATATACACAATTATATACAAAATAGAAGAAGACATATAACACAGTAAAAAGAGGCGCAAGCTACTTATCCACGTATAGTCATACTATCAGTATTACTGTCTGGATTGAATTTGGACATGAGGGCGTTTAAAAAAATACATTTCATTAAAATATCAATATAAAATAAAAGTTGGACTACAATCCAATTAAAAAGGCTTGTCCTACTCTTCCAGTGTAGTAATTAAATGCTTCAATAATTTTAAGTCACTGGGTTTAAGGTTAGTTTATGAATGTAGTAGCACATTTCATCATAGTACACATGGAATTCAAAGATCCTTACAAAACGTTACTTGACATGGAAGCTAATAACAAAATGTAGACTTTTCAATTAAAAACAGCAACACATTTTACATAATTATTGTCTGCTGAGTTAATAAACTGTTCTCTTGCACTTTATGTACATGTAGGCTGTTTCATCAAGTGGTCTCTGAAAGGTCACATGATACATCTTGTGAGATAAATATGAGAAAAGGAAAGCAGAGAAAGCAAAGCTCTGCAACACAAATCACTAACTAATTTGCAGACTTTTCTCTAACTTTCCTTTTTTATTATGAAATATCGGATCATTTGACTTCAGTTGGCCTCAATGTAAGAAGGTAAATGTCTCTTTGGTGAAACACATGCAAGACATCGGAAACATGCCGTGGGGCCCAAGTGAACAAACTTTATTGGCACCAAACCAAAAAGACAGGGAACAAAAGCTTGCATGGTTTTTAATTACCGTATCGTATTAAGGTAAAATCTTAATATGAAAAGTAATCATAGCTGTCCTAAAAATAATGAGCAGTAAAAAGTACAATATTTCCCCATTCGAAATGTATTTATTAAAGTACACATCCCTTAAAATGTAGTAAGTGTGATACTTAAATAAATGTACTTTCCACCGTTATTTGTCCCTGCTCTCCCTCTCTCAGAGACTCTCACTCTGCAGCTCAGCTTGTGTGTCACTACTTTCCTCCTATGTGTGCAGAAAAGCTCCATGTTGTGCATCGGAGAGGAACAGCCCAAAAACTGGTTCACTGAGCTGCAGGTGCTGAAAGGACATTTTGACATTGTTCGATTTCTGGTGCAGATTGATGACTTCAGGTAAGCAGACCACGACCCCCCCCCCCCCCCCCCCCCATCCTCTTTTCTTTTTTTTCTCTTTCTAACCTCTCTCCTCTCTACCCTTGGCTGGCCTCTATCCCTCTGTGATTGACAGGAGATCCTCACCTACAGAAAACGTACAGAGCATGACAAGAGCCCAATCATCACCACTATGTGATTGTGTGTGCAGTACAGTATACACAAAGCCCTTTAATGCTGTCCGTACACACATGCACGCACACATGGAAAGGTTCTGCACCTGATCTCTCCTCCGCTGCTTTGTGAGAGCATGCTGCACACATCATGGTAGAGTGGGTCTGCATAAGTGCTCAGATTGGGATTTATAACAGAACTAAGTATGTGGGTCTGGTTGTGTGTGTGTGTCAGTAGGGGGGGTGCTGCTTCACGCCTGGTCTCCCCCAGTAATAACCTCCTCCTCTGGGTCTCGTCCTCTCCGCTCTCAGGTCCTCAGTCGGGGGCAAAGGGCAGAAAATTCTCTCCAGATTGCTTTTGAAGTCCGAAAATGTATCCTCGACAGTTCCTCTCTTCTCATTTCATCTCTTTTTTTATCCGGTCATCCTGTCTGTTGATTTTGGGAACAGGTAGTGTGGACGCTCGAGGGTCAAAGGGCAAGTGGAGGTGGAAACCCCAGGACAGATGTTTTTTTTAAGATTCCTTGAGAGGAGATGGAGCTACAGGAAATGATTCCTCACACAGATAGAGATTAACTTGGTGTGTTTGGCTACCTTTAAGATGAGGCCTTCAGGTGAACTGAAGTATTTCTGTCACGTCTACAACTCAAACTGTCATCTTATGTTTTCCAGATGTGCCTCAGCGGGCGATGATGGCCTGGTTTTGGTGTGGAATGTTGAGGTGATAAGCTGCAAGTTGATTATTTCAGTGCATTATGAAAATGAACGCAGTGGCACTAATGTTTTTTCTTTCTCTTCTTCCTGACTGTTAGACCGGAGAGAGACTCCAGGAGCTGAGGGGCCACTCCCAGCAGATTACAGCCATGACCACCTTCACCTGTGATGATGGAGACACGACGCACACCTCGCTCCTCACAGCGTCCTCTGACCGAAGTCTCAGCGTATCCTCAAAGCACACAATACTTTTAAATACATACTAAAATCATTCAGAATTTATTGTTGTGTTTTATAATTCAAACTTTATTTTCCTTAACCTGATTGGTCAGCTGTGGGACCCGGACACAGGCAACAGGGTTCAGACCATTTCAGATCTTCAGTCCTCTGTAAAGGTAATTGATAAGCCCCTTACAGACATGAGCCTTGTTATGTTAATGTTATGACCATTTTGCAGTTGGGTGTCATCCCTGAAGAAGGCATGTTTTAAAGTAAAAGCCACATAGAGATATCATTGAGTTTGACTGCGCTCTATTTACCCAACGACTAGAGATAATGCTATTAATGTTACATTTGAGTAAGGAACTACTCCTATTCTCCTTTTCTTATTGCTATAGTATGTATTTCTGCTTTGTGCACTTCACTGTTCCATGTTCCAGCTTTTTCTTATTAACCATTACTTTCTAACAAGAACATGTCTAGAAAGATAAAGATTTTTCAGTAGTTTTGAAGGAAACGTCCATATTTTCTAACGGCCAGTAAGCTCCATACATACTAATATAAAACATAATGGCCCAATCCCAAACAACGCCCTACCCCCTACCCCTACACACTACCCCTCCGTTTGCGCTGTTCCAAAGCAACGAGTGTGGAGCGGTGTAGAGGGGGAGTGGGCTATCAAGCCCTCAAACAGCGAGTCTGCAGCGGTGCTGACTTGAGACCGGTCTCTACCTGACCGGAGTCACGCTGTGTGTGTCCGTCAGGAAACACGCTGTTTACAAGTAGTTCCAGCAAACATCCGCTGATAAACTGCGATGTTAACAACCTCATGATAACCTCATATGTTTTAACTTAGGATCATACCTGTGTTTAGTCTAGAAAAAGGTAAATGTGTGCATTTTATTATAAAGTTATGTATATTTACAGACTGTTGCAAAAACTAAGAAGCTTATAAACATCAGGTTTAAAACTGAATCTTTTTGTCTAAGAGATGCTGATTTGAAACCGTTGTTACATACAGTTACGGCATTTCCTGTTTCTGCCGTAGGAGGCCGTCCCAAAGCTTGCTGCTGTATTTACTCCCTCCATCTGACAGGAGGGAGCCTCGTTGAGCTGAGAGTGTCACGCCGTCACGGAGGGGGAGTGTGTAGGAGTAGGGTGTAGGCAATTAAGTTTGTTTTGGCAAGAAAGGTAAAATACCAATTAAAACGTTTGACACTTTTTTTCTTCTGACAGTTATGATTCAAGAAAGAAATGGTTATTGCCTCCCCTTGATCACACATTAAGGTTAATGACAGCATCTAAAGGCTCATTGTATTTGAATTATTTTGTTTGTGTGTGCATTGATTTGTGCACGTCAAAATGAAAATAAATAACACGCATGTGCTGATCCTTGTGTCCTTCAGTGTCTGCTGGTGCTGGAGCGGCTGTGTGTGTTTGTCTCGGGCGGGGGGGAGCTGTGTGTGTGGAACAAAGACTTCCAGCTGCAGTGTCACCGACCCAACCACAGCGACACCGGTGAGGAGGAACAAAGGAAGAATAACTGTCACAATAAACCTCTCATGTGGTGATTGTTGCACCAACAATGCCCCCCCCCCATCCCTGCTGTTTGCACACACACTGATTAATGTTGTTATTTTGTGTTTTCTTTTTTATAACTGCAGGAATAACTGCTTTGATAGAGCTGCCCAAGAACTGCATAGCAGCTGCAATGGATAAAGAGATAGGTAAGAGACAGAATGTTTAATATGTGCAAAACGACACGGCTTTAGTCAATATTGTTGATATCAAACATCATTCAAACTTTATTTGTATTGCACTTTTAATAGAAAAAAGGTCATTCAAAGTGCCACTGAAACCAAAAACAATGAATAAAATAAAACAATATTCATAAACGGACCAACGCATTACTTTGTGATATACCAAAACAACAGGTCAATAAACACAGCACAGAACAAATGTATGTATTTTCTTCCTTGCAGTGATCTACAGGCTGACGGTCTCTACAGATTCTTCCATATCGGTGGCTGAGGTCCGCTGTCTGTCCGACCACCAGGACAGAATTCGAGCTCTTATTAACGTCAATGGTTAGTTATTTAAGAAAATAATCAGACTTATCTAACTGGCTTCATTCAGCTTTAAGAGAATGAGACATTGCCCCCTGAGCTTTATATGACTTTAGTTCTGTCTCTTCCTCAGACGGGCTCTTTGCGAGCGGCTCCCACGCGGGCGAGCTGATATTATGGGATGCGATTGAATGGAACATCATGGCCTATGAGCACATCCTGTGGGAGGAGTCACCAGCCTGCACTCACGCCGAAATACGATTGGCTGCTCCCAAACCCAGTGAGATGTCCATACAGCATCTGACCACCAATGGAAGGGTGAGGAACACGGGATGTATTTGTTGTGTGTCATTAAACATTGTTTGTGTTTTGTTTTGTTATTGTGTTACATACTGTAAATAAAGTTGTGTACGTGTTTTGTAGCACATCCTTGCAGCTGTAGGCAGCGGTCTGTATGTGTTCAGCGTTCTGACCAAGACGGTGGTGGCCTACAGGAAGGCGGCCCACGACTCTAACGTCCTGCACACCATGCTGCTGTCTGACAGGTGAGATATCAGATCCTGTCTCTAACCGCTTCAATGTGGGATGAAAAGAAACAAAAAGGACATTTCTTTGTGGATAATGTGTTTATTCGGCCAGAAAAAATCTCCATGCATGTATTATAAAACCTGTACCCTCTCGGGAGTTTAACCAAAGACAATTTTTCTGCCTTTTTAGAAAAATATTCCATGTCTTGAAAACCTAAAATGGGTTTAGTAACGTACAAAAGAGGTGTCCAAACTACGGCCTGGGGTCCAACTGCGGCATGTTGGCCTTTTTTAATCGGCCCTCAGCAAAAAGCATTATTTTCTTATATTGTACTTCTTAAATATATGTCTAAACATATATTACAGAGGAGGTTTCATGAGCCCACTTTTCAAATAAATAAAAAAAAATCTTAATTGATAAAAAAAAGCCCATAACGAGCTTAAAAAATGCCCCTCATGTTTCCCCTTATTATAAGCATCTTCAAGTATCAAGCATAATTTACCTATATTTGATAAATTTGGTAACTTATAACTTATGAGGCAGTATACCTCACCTCTAGTGAGTGGCCCAGACTTTAGTATGCTTTTATTTATGTGGCCCTCAGTGAAAAAAGTTTGGACACCCCTGACGTACAAGAAGCAAAGATTATAGAAAGAAACATTAAGAGTTAGCTTAAAGCAAAGGCTAAGAAACAATGTATATCTGTGTCAATCAAATCTTGCTCTAGATGTGAGTTTGAATACACTAGGATTTATTGTGATTAAAACAGCCATTGATTAGACTAACAGTTGTTTACACCGTCTCTGTTCCAGCGAGCTGATGTCCTGCTCTGAGGACGGCAGTGTGAGGATGTGGGAGATCCAGGACCTGCCTCTGTCTGCTGAGCCCGCCTCTTCAGGTGACACACAACAGGGCACACGCACAAACATACACTCTAGAGGCTTCTCAATTCTTAAATTTCCCCTCCTCGACTCCCCTCCTCGACTCCTATCCTCGAGACTTAGTCCCGCCCACAGGAGATGCGAGCGGAGGACTGAGGAGGGGAACCGAGGAGAGAGGAGGGGAAGCAGCAGGCGGTTAGAGAAATGAGAACTCCTCTCCTCTGAGCGGTCATTTTAAAGAGACGTCCATTAATGATGACAGGAGGCACAGCAGCCCTCTGTCTGATGGACAGATGTGTTCATGATGACTTATATATTTACTTTTAATTCATTCACAGTGCGGTATAATGAGACAATAACAGGCTACAGATGCGGACATATACACACACACACACATATATATATATATATGTATATATTTATATAAATATATACAATTTAAAGTATGAGAGCACTCTCATAATAACGTAACACAATCAGAGACTGGATATATCCCCCCCTCTCTCTGGTCGTTGAAATGGGGAATTGAAATTACGGGCCAAAAGTTGTATTTACAAGTATTAAAAGTAAGCAGAGGACACCAAACCAACTGAGACCCGTCTGTCCGCCGCATCTACGCACTGTACACAACACGCACCTACACACTGTACCACACACACACACACACACACACACACACACACACACACACTTACACACACTGTACCACACACACCTACAGCTCCTAAAGCATAAGCCGTTGTGTATTTTATTATGTGAAGCAATGGTCTTAGAAAAATATCGACTCTTTGTTTGTAGATATCTAAACTAAAGCAAATAAAGAGAGTAGGCCTGTTATACTGAGTGATATATATTATACACACTGCTCTGCTTTCTGCACGGACCTCACAGCTGTTCTCTCTGGAAACATCACGACGCGATGAAAGCAGTTACTACAATAATATCCAGGGGATGCATGCAGAGCTGTCATTGGCTGAGATAAGTCCGGCCGTGCGTCACGCCTCCACCGTTCCCGGAAATGCATCCGTGGAGGAGCCGTGGAGGAACCATCAGTGTATCCTCGGTTATAGCTCCTCCAGAGAGCCTCCTCGACGCTCGATCCTCGGTCCTCGGTGTGCATTTAGAGAAATGAGATGTCCTTCAAAATGGCGCGCTGAAATTCATTTCCGGGTCACTACCGGAGGACCGAGGAGTCGAGGAGAGGAAATGTAAGAATTGAGAAGCCTCTTCTGTAACATGGTTAAATGTGACACTGCTGATAGGATGCCAAGTAGTTCACATTTTCAGACATACACTGAACAAAAATATAAATGCAACACTTTTGTTTTTGCTCCCATTTTTCATGAGATGATCTCAAAGATCTAAAACATTTTCTATATACACAAAATAACCATTTCTCTCAAATATTGTTCACAAATCTGAAAAAATCTGTGATAGTGAGCACTTCTCCTTTGCCGAGATAATCCATCCCACCTCACAGGTGTGGCATATCAAGATGCTGATTAGACAGCATGATTATTGCACAGGTGTGCCTTAGGCTGGCCACAATAAAAGGCCACTCTAAAATGTTCAGTTTTATCACACAGCACAATGCCACAGATGTCGCAAGTTTTGAGGGAGCGTGCAATTGGCATGCTGACAGCAGGAATGTCCACCAGAGCTGTTGCCCGTGAATTGAATGTTCATTTCTCTACCATAAGCCGTCTCCAAAGGCGTTTCAGAGAATTTGGCAGTACATCCAACCGGCCTCACAACCGCAGACCACGTGTAACCACACCAGCCCAGGACCTCCACATCCAGCATGTTCACCTTCAAGATCGTCTGAGACCAGCCACTCGGACAGCTGCTGCAACAATCGGTTTGCATAACCAAAGAATTTCTGCACAAACTGTCAGAAACCGTCTCAGGGAAGCTCATCTGCATGCTCGTCGTCCTCATCGGGGTCTCGACCTGACTCCGGTTCGTCGTCGTAACCGACTTGAGTGGGCAAATGCTCACATTCGATGGCGTCTGGCACGTTGGAGAGGTGTTCTCTTCACGGATTAATCCCGGTTTTCACTGTTCAGGGCAGATGGCAGACAGCGTGTGTGGCGTCGTGTGGGTGAGCGGTTTTCTGATGTCAATGTTGTGAATCGAGTGGCCCATGGTGGTGGTGGGGTTATGGTATGGGCAGGCGTATGTTATGGACGACGAACACAGGTGCATTTTATTGATGGCATTGTGAATGCACAGAGATACCGTGACGAGATCCTGAGGCCCATTGTTGTGCCATTCATCCACGACCATCACCTCATGTTGCAGCATGATAATGCACGGCCCATGTTGCAAGGATCTGTACACAATTCCTGGAGGCTGAAAACATCCCAGTTCTTGCATGGCCAGCATACTCACCGGACAGTGTGCATCTGGACCCGGTGACAACATTACCTATTGACGCAGCAACCACTGTAAGTTATATTCTTGTTTAATTAGACTTCTCTGTTTCATTTATTCGACTCTGTATAAATTGTTATTGTAGCTTTAACGGCTAAATCGCGTTTGAGAGATTTTAAATCTCAGATCTGCTCAGGCGAAACCTGCTTTACAGGTCTCAGCACTCAAGCCTGCATTAATATAGGCACGGCCAGTCTATTGATAGCGTAAAGTACAATCAATCAATCAATCAATCAATGTTTATTTATATAGCCCAATATCACAAATGTTACATTTGTCTCAGTGGACTTTACAGTTTGTACAAAATATCAGTATGACAATACGACACCCTCTGTCCTTAGACCCTCACATCGTACAAGGAAAAACTTCCGGAGAAAACCCACAGTTTAAAGGGAAAAATGGGAGAAACCTCAGGGAGAGCAACAGAGGAGGGATCCCTCTCCCAGGACGGACAGACGTGCAATAGATGCCGTGTGTAAATTGAAAAGATAATACATTTGCAACATAGGTAGTCCAAATGTTTGGAAATGCATGTGTGTATAATAGGAAGATGAATCCACGAGGATATCCATCCAGGACCTATGATCCAGGACCACAGCCACGACTCAAGATCCAGGGCTCGCGATCCAGGACAGAGGAGCGCAGGATCATCCATGACTCCAGATCCCGGCGTATATAGACACCAAAAAGAAAGACATTTGGGGAAGCTGGGTTAATCGGAACATGAGAGTACACAGGTATAGACAGAGAGAAGGAAGAAGTAAGATGTCCCCCGACAAACTAAGCCTATATCAGCAAAACTAGGGGCTGGATCTAATCAGCCCTAACTATAAGCTTTATCAAAAAGGAAGGTCTTAAGCGCACTCTTAAAAAACGGATAGGGTGTCTGCCGCCCGAACACAAACTGGAAGCTGATTCCACAAATGTGGAGCTTGATAAGAAAAGGCTCTGGCTCCCATTGTACTTTTAGAGACTCTAGGAACAACCAACAACCCTGCATTCTTGGAACGCAATGCCCTAGTAGGACAGTAGGGTATAATGAGTTCTTTAAGGTAAGATGGCGCCTGCCCATTAAGGGCTTTGTAGGCGAGAAGAAGAATTTTAAATTCTATCCTGTGTTCTATAGGGAGCCAGTGTAAGGCAGCCAGAACAGGAGTAATGTGGTCCCTTTTCCTAACTCTGGTTAGTACACGAGCCGCAGCATTTTGAATCAGCTGAAGCGACTTGACTGACTTCTTGGTACACCCTGATAATAAAGAGTTACAATAATCCAGCCTTGAAGTAACAAATGCATGGACTAGTTTCTCTGCATCGTTTTGAGGCAAGATATGCCTGATTTTTGCAATGTTACGTAGATGGAAGTAGGCGGTCCTTGAAATTGATTTTATGTGGGCGTTAAAGGATAAATCCTGATCAAATATAACACCAAGATTCCTTACAGTCTCACTGGAGGCCAAATTAATGCCATCCATAGTTAGTATATCCTTAGATAATTTGTTTCGTAGATTCTTCGGGCCAAGTACAATAACTTCAGTTTTGGTCGTGTTTAACATCAAAAAGTTTAAGGTCATCCACGTTTTTAAGTCCTTAAGGCAGTCTTGAATTGTATTTAGATGATTAATTTCATCAGGCTTGATTGATAAATATAGTTGAGTATCATCCGCATAACAATGAAAGTTTACAGAATGATTCCTTATAATATTGCCTAACGGAAGCATATATAATGTGAACAAAATAGGTCCGAGCACTGAGCCCTGTGGCACTCCATGGCTAACTTTGGTTTGCGTGGAAGATTCATCATTGACACGTACAAACTGAGAGCGTTCAGATAGATAGGACCTAAACCAGTCTAAAGCAGTTCCCTGTATGCCAACTAAGTGCTCTAGTCTTTGCAATAAGATATCATGGTCGATAGTATCAAATGCAGCACTGAGATCGAGCAAAACAAGAATAGAGACACGTCCCTTGTCAGAGGCTATTAGAATGTCATTTGTGACTTTAACCAGAGCTGTCTCTGTGCTATGATGTGTTCTAAAGCCAGACTGAAAAGCTTCAAATAAATCATTGTTTTTTAAGTAATCACACAACTGTTTTGCGACCGCTTTCTCAAGAATTTTTGAGAGGAACGGAAGATTAGAAATAGGTCTATAGTTGGCTAAAACCTCTGGATCGAGGTTGTGCTTTTTAAGAAGCGGTTTTATCACTGCTACTTTGAATGATTGTGGAACATAGCCTGATAATAAAGACATATTCATAATATTTAATAAATAAGTGCTAATTAATGGAAAAACTTCCTTCAACAGCTTAGTTGGAATTGGGTCTAACATGCACGTTGATGGTTTAGAAGAGAGAATCATTGAATTTAATTGTTCAAGGTTTATGGCTGAAAAGCATTCTAGTTTACTATCTAGTGTAATATTAGAACTTACGTTTCCGGGAGCTATTGATAACACTATACTGGTCAAAGGCAAGAGGTCATTAATTTTGTTTCTAAGAGTAACAATTTTATCGTTAAAAAAGCACATAAAATCATTACTACTGAGTGCTATGGGAATAGAAGGCTCAATCGAGCTGTGGCTTTCTG